TCGACAAAAAATTCCATCCTCGACAAAAGCAGCACAGCAGCTTCACTGCAAGAAAAACTAACGGAGGAAACACAACCGGCTGTTCCGGGGAGGCCACACAAAAAATTTCTGCCTGCCTGTTTTGCCAATCGACGGGCTAACTCAAAGGACACAGACACCAAGCTAAAGAAATAGGCTTATTTTACTTTCGTTTAAGCAGCGAAAGAATAAGCCAGGTAACGCACCTAGTCATTACTACATAAAGCTAGCTCTAGTGATTAAGAAAGATACATCCCAATTGCCTTCGTACTTTACCATCATCCAGATCCGTGCATCAGCTGGGGAGCCCCGTCACAGCGAAGGATCGGAGAGCCTTTCCCGGCAATTGGAAGTCCTAACGCAGTGCGTCCACTCGTAGGTAAGGTCTCCGTCTTTGCTGGGAGAGGGTCCGGCTTTATACAGTTGAACAAACAAGTCTATACAAAATGCACAGCAGATATCTGGTAGGTTGATATGCCTCACTCGGGCATGTCCAGATCTGGCCAGGATCCGGGCACGTCTGAGGAGTTACTCTTTTTCTGTACCTTTGGGATTTATAGTTACTTCTGTCGTTTACTGGTTGTTTCCAGGGATTGTTCATTTTCACGCTGATAAGATCTGGTTGCATGTTGCTGATAAGATGCTGGTGCTGGTCGGGGGATTCACTCAGAAGTCAACCTTGGTTTGAGGCCGATTGTTTGGCCCTTTTTTGTTTCACTGCCTTCAAAACGCCAGCCTGAGACAGACCTGCGCCCAAACACAGGCGACAAAAGTCGCCTCGCAGACCGGCCGGACCGGGGAGTAAAACCCAGACAGGGGACAGGAAAAGAAAAAATTTTTTGTCCCCAGCTCTTTTGGATTTTGGGATTTTTGGTTTTGTGTGGTTTGGGTTTTTTTTTTTGTTTTTTTTTTTTAATTTCTATTTTGTCTGTCTACTGCCTCTAAACAAGCTACACAACCTACAGCCCGTAAGGAAAAACAAAACATCAACCATTCAGCACTGCTACCACACTTTTAAACGCCACACAGCCGGCTACCACTCAAACCACCACGTGTTCTCCCCTTGGCCACCCTACCACCAAAACCGCCACAAGCATCAACCCTCCGTGATCCTCAGAAACATCAGGTATGGGGGCCTCAAAAAATCATCCTGCCTGAAAAAACTCCAGCCTGAGCTGACCTGCACCCACATCTAGATAACGATCCTTGCGTTGCACACCGGCCGGGACCAGGGAAAAACTACCCAGCAGGAGACGGGAAAAACAGAAGTTTATTCCCCTGACAGAGTTTTTCATTAAATCCAGTCTACGTAGTCAAATTGAGCCCCGCTACATCCTGGAAGAAAAGAGACGATAAATACTCTTACGCGGCTAGACACATGCTAAACGTACCGCTATTTCCACCTACCGCCAAAACCAACCCCCACTCTCCACCGGCCCATCCTTCCGCCCAACTGTCACGACAGGCAGTCACCCCCGGAATACTGTTCCTGGGGGACTCGAGCGCCTAGCCTGAGGAAATCCCGGCCCAAACCTGACCTTCACCACACGCTGACCGTGACCGTCACCCTCAGAGAGCATCTGCGACCGTGAAAATAAACCCCACCGGGGAGCAAAGACGTCACCCAGTTGGAGGATTTGTTTTCTTATGAAAACAAACCCTACAGTATACCCGTGAACTCTATTCCACCTATCCCTGGCTCCACACCCCGGCAGAGCAGCTCCAAGCCACACAGGACACACACAAAATACTAAAAACGACACAATTCAAAGATGACTAAACACTAAGCGATAATCACACCCAGAAGGGTATGCCGTAAGGCGAGAAGACTCGGAGGCCACGATGGTGACGCGAGGAGGCTATATGGCAGCCTACAAGAAGCAGTAAGTGGGACGGCCCCTTACGAGAAGCTACCGTCAAAACCGAGACGATGGGTATGCAAGAATATGGGCTTCAAGACCTAAGAACGTCGGGATACGGGAAAGAAGTCACCGGCAGGAACAACGGATGCCTAAATAAGCAGAGCTGACGCCAGAGCCCGCGACGACGCTGCGCAAAAGACTCCCGACTGGAAACTTCCAAGACCTACCCACGCTTTAAGCTTATAACGCAAGAATAAAAAAGCACCCGATCGGCAGCGTGCCGATGAAGATGGCGTTCGATACCCTAGGGATGGCGCCTGAGGCACGTGCCGTGCTCCTCGAGCCCAAAGAGATGTGAGGACATAGAGATCCGAGGAAGGACAAAAGACACGGTAGACAGAAGAAACAAAACTACACGTTGACACACGCAGAGGCTGGAACTGCCCTGCCCGGGACACGCTAACATCGAGGGGAAAAGTAATCTGTTCCCTTTACCTGACCGGAGGGCCCCGCTCCTGTGCAGCCTTCTCCCCGTGCTAACTTTCAAACACTTCCTGCAATTCCCAACTCGGCCCCTCCTCTCGGCCCCGTTCGCTCGACTTAGCTTTCAGAGGGACGGAGGTCCGATTCCATCCTCGACAAAAGCAGCACGGCAGCTAACTAGCACGTTCCTGCAGTTGCCGCCTTCCTCTTCACCTGCAAGAAAAAACAAACGGGAGAAACACAACCGGCCGTTGCATCGCGCTGCTCCGTGCCTACCTCTTCCACGACACCCCCCCGTACTCAGAAGCGTCGCGGGGTTCCACTCACGGCTCTTTGCAGAGTCAGATGGTGCAGCCGTCATCGCTGGCGTTACCTAAGATACCGAGAGACAAAGTTACCCTTGCGCTTCTAACGAGTCACCCACGATCCTCCTTGCGACTACCCCGGCTCGCTTCAAACGCTCATCCCATCCCAAAGGCGGCTCCCAAAGCACCTGCAAAAACAAGGCGAGCGCTTAACGGAGCGGTCACACGATACTTCCGTATTAGACACGACCTGGCTGACAACGGCCTCACCTTCTCACACTGTCCGTCTGCGTGCGGCTCGGCCCCTCCGCGGCCATCTGCGGCACCTACAAAAAACTCGAGGAAAGACACGTGCAGAGTTACCGCCTGAAACTGGGGTCTGCCCGCACCGATTCCCGTCTCCTGCTCCCTTACCTCGGCCCTTCACCTGCCCTGCCGCTGCCGTTTCCAGTTGTCACGTCAAGGCTCGCGTGCCACCTGTAACAACACGTACCGCAAGGGACGCTTCTACTTTCACCGACAATTTGATGCCTAAAATAAGAACTGCTACTTTAACCCCCCTAGTCGTGGCTCACCTTGCCCAAGCTGCCTCCGGTGCCAAATCCTACTTTGCTTGTGGCTCTCCATCTAAAAAACACAACAAAACACCACAAAACACACCACACACCGCTATCATCCCCTCCGATAGCACCGGTGCCATCTTCCCTCCCGCACCGCTCAGTGACCCACCTTCTCACAGCCCTCCGCTCACCTCCTCCGTCCTCTTTGGGGCGCATCTCCCTCGATCTGCATGTGAAACAGTTATGTGAGTCCCCGGATGCTTAACAAATCCGGAGGTGTCACTTCCGGCTAGGGATGCTAGCTGGCATCCAACTACAGCCTGTTGTTGAAAAAGAAAACCACGCGCCTCCGCCCAAAGCGTACGCTCCCACACCTACGAGCCTTAACACCTTTGAGATCCCATCTCATTTGCTACTGCTGGACAGCTGCTCCCACACCGCTCCAACAGTCTCCATAAAACGCTCTAGAAACGACCGTCCGCACAGCCTCTGGATGGCTACTATGAGGTGACCGCACATCTGTCGCCTAGGCGTCTAAGCGTATCAACATTTAAACCGTTGACTTCTACTGCTGTTCTACTTACTCCTGACTCTACACCCCCAGGCAGGGCAGCTCCGAGCCAAACAGGCACACGCATACACTAATGCTAAACGCTACGAAAGGTTTGATTCCAAGATAACCTCTAAGCGATAAGGACTCTCAGACAAGATACCATGTCAGGCGAGAAGACTAGAGGGCCACAACTGGGAGGCGAGGAGGCTATACGGCAGCCCCAGAAAGAGTCACACGTTATGGCCCGTTTATAGAAGCTACCGTCAAAACCGAGACGGTGGATGAGAAGTACGAGTCCGAATCCTAGGATGGAGGATGCAGGAAGACGTCACAGTCCGTGAAAATGGATGCCTAAGGAGCAGAGCTGATGCCGCAGCCGGCGATGATGATGCTGCACGAAAGACTCTCGACTGGAAACTTCCAAGACCTACCCACGCTTCAAGCTTATAACGCAAGAATAAAAAGCACACCGATCGGCAGCGTGCCGATGAAGATGGGCGTTCGATACCCTAGGGATGGCGCCCGAGGCGCGTGCCGTGCTCCTCGAGCACAAAGAGATGTGAGGACATTTAGAGCCGAGGAAGGACAGAGACACGGCAGACGGAAGAACAAACTACAAGATGACACCGCAGAGGCGGGAACTGCCCTGCCGGACACGCTAACATCGAGGGAAAAAGTAATCTGTTCCCTTTACCTGACCGGAGGGCCCCGCTCCTGTACAGCCTTCTCCCTATGCTAACTTCCAAACACTTCCCTGCAATTCCCAACCTCGTCCCCTCCTCTCGGCCCCGTTCGCTCGACTTAGCTTTCAGAGGGCCGGAGTCCATCTCGACAAAAAATTCCATCCTCGACAAAAGCAGCACAGCAGCTTCACCTGCAAGAAAAAACTAACGGGAGGAAACACAACCGGCTGTTCCGGGGAGGCCACACAAAAAAATTTCTGCCTGCCTGTTTTGCCAATCGACGGGGCTAACTCAAAGGACACAGACCACCAAGCTAAAGAATAGGCTTATTTTACTTTCGTTTAAAGCAGCAGAAAGAATAACCAGTAACGCACCTAGTCATTACTACATAAAGCTAGCTCTAGTGATTAAGAAAGATACATCACCAATTGCCTTCGTACTTTACCATCATCCAGATCCGTGCATCAGCTGGGGAGCCCCGTCACAGCGAAGGATCGGAGAGCCTTTCCCGGCAATTGGGAAGTCCTACGCAGTGCGTCCACTCGTAGTAGGTCTCCGTCTTGCTGGGAGGGTCCGGCTTTTATACAGTTTAACAAACAAGTCTATACAAAATGCACAGCAGATATCTGGTAGGTTGATATGCCTCACTCGGGCATGTCCAGATCTGGCCAGGATCCGGGCACGTCTGAGGAGTTACTCTTTTTCTGTACTTTGGGATTTATAGTTACTTCCTGTCGTTTACTGGTTGTTTCCAGGGATTGTTCCAGGGTTGCATTTTCACGCTGATAAGATGCTGGTTGCTGGTCGGGGGATTCACTCAGAAGTCAACCTTGTTTGAGGCCGATTGTGTGGCCCTTTTTTGTTTCACTGCCTTCAAAACGCCAGCCTGAGACAGACCTGCGCCCAACACAGGCGACAAATCCCTCGCAGACCGCCGGGACCGGGGAGTAAAAACCCAGCAGGGGACAGGAAAAGAAAAAATTTTTTGTCCCCGCTCTTTTGGGATTTTGGGATTTTTGGTTTTGTGTGGTTTGGGTTTTTTTTTTTTTTTTTTTTTAATTTCTATTTTGTCTGTCTACTGCCTCTAAACAAAGCTACACAACCTACAGCCCGTAAGGAAAAAACAAAACATCAACCATTCAGGCACTGCTACACACATTTAAACGCCACACAGCCGGCTACCACTCAAACCACCACGTGTTTCTCCCCTTGGCCACCCTACCACCAAAACCGCCACAAGCCATCACCCTCCGTGATCCTCAGAAACATCAGGGATGGGGGCCTCAAAAAAATCATCCTGCCTGAAAAAACTCCAGCCTGAGCCTGACCTGCACCCACATCTAGATACGATCCTTGCGTTGCACACCGGCGGGACCAGGGAAAAACTACCCAGCAGGAGACGGGAAAAACAGAAGTTTATTCCCCTGACAGAGTTTTTCATTAAATCCAGTCTACGTAGTCAATTGAGCCCCGCCTACATCCTGGAAGAAAAGAGACGACAAATACTCTTACGCGGCTAGACACATTCTAAACGTACCGCTATTCCACCTACCGCCAAAACCAACCCCCACTCTCCACCGGCCCATCCTTCCGCCCAACTGTCACGACAGGCAGTCACCCCCGGAATACTGTTCCTGGGGGACTCGAGCGCCTAGCCTGAGGAAATCCCGGCCCAAACCTGACCTTCACCCACACCTGACCGTGACCGTCACCCTCAGAGAGCATCTGCGACCGGGTGAAATAAACCCCACCGGGGAGCAAAGACGTCACCCAGTTGGAGGATTTGTTTTCTTATTGAAAACAAACCCATACAGTATACCCGTGAACTCTATTCCACCTATCCCTGGCTCCACACCCCCAGGCAGAGCAGCTCCAAGCCACAGACACACCAAAATACTAAAAACGACACAATTCAAAGATGACTAAACACTAAGCGATAAGCACACCCAGAAGGGTATGCCGTAAGGCGAGAAGACTCGGAGGGCCACGATGGTGACGCGAGGAGGCTATATGGCAGCCTACAAGAAGCAGTAAGTGGACGGCCCCTTACGAGAAGCTACCGTCAAAACCGAGACGATGGGTATGCAAGAAGATGGGCTTCAAGACCTAAGAACGTCGGGATACGGGAAAGAAGTCACCGGCAGGAACAACGGATGCCTAAATAGCAGAGCTGACGCCAGAGCCCGCGACGACGCTGCGCAAAAGACTCCCGACTGGAAACTTCCAAGGCCTACCCACGCTTTAAGCTTATAACGCAAGAATAAAAAGCACCCGATCGGCAGCGTGCCGATGAAGATGGGCGTTCGATACCCTAGGGATGGCGCCTGAGGCACGTGCCGTGCTCCTCGGCCCAAAGAGATGTGAGGACATAGAGATCCGAGGAAGGACAAAGACACGGTAGACAGAAGAAACAAAACTACACGTTGACACACGCAGAGGCTGGAACTGCCCTGCCCGGGACACGCTAACATCGAGGGAAAGTAATCTGTTCCCTTTACCTGACCGGAGGGCCCCGCTCCTGTGCAGCCTTCTCCCCGTGCTAACTTTCAAACATTCCTGCAATTCCCAACCTCGGCCCTCCTCTCGGCCCCGTTCGCTCGACTTAGCTTTCAGAGGGACGGAGGTCCGATTCCATCCTCGACAAAAGCAGCACGGCAGCTAACTAGCACGTTCCTGCAGTTGCCGCCTTCCTCTTCACCTGCAAGAAAAAACAAACGGGAGAAAACACAACCGGCCGTTGGCATCGCGCTGCTCCGTGCCTACCTCTTCCACGACACCCCCCCCGTACTCAGAAGCGTCGCGGGGTTCCACTCACGGCCTCTTTGCAGAGTCAGATGGTGCAGCCGTCATCGCTGGCGTTACCTAAGATACCGAGAGACAAAGTTACCCTTGCGCTTCTAACGAGTCACCCACGATCCTCCTTGCGACTACCCCGGCTCGCTTCAAACGCTCATCCCATCCCAAAGGCGGCTCCCAAAGCACCTGCAAAAACAAGGCGAGCGCTTAACGGAGCGGTCACACGATACTTCCGTATTAGACACCGACCTGGCTGACAACGGCCTCACCTTCTCACACTGTCCGTCTGCGTGCGGCTCGGCCCCTCCGCGGCCATCTGCGGGCACCTACAAAAAACTCGAGGAAAAGACACGTGCAGAGTTACCGCCTGAAACTGGGGTCTGCCCGCACCGATTCCCGTCTCCTGCTCCCTTACCTCGGCCCTTCACCTGCCCTGCCGCTGCCGTTTCCAGTGTCACGTCAAGGCTCGCGTGCCACCTGTAACACACGTACCGCAAGGGACGCTTCTACTTTCACCGACAATTTGATGCCTAAAATAAGAACTGCTACTTTAACCCCCCTAGTCGTGGCTCACCTTGCCCAAGCTGCCTCCGGTGCCAAAATCCTACTTTGCTTGTGGCTCTCCATCTAAAACAACAAACAAAAAACCCCACAAAACACACCACACACCGCTATCATCCCCTCCGATAGCACCGGTGCCATCTTCCCTCCCGCACCGCTCAGTGACCCACCTTCTCACAGCCCTCCGCTCACCTCCTCCGTCACTCTTTGGGGCGCATCTCCTCGATCTGCATGTGAAAACAGTTATGTGAGTCACCCGGATGCTTAACAAATCCGGAGGTGTCACTTCCGCTAGGGATGCTAGCTGGCATCCAACTACAGCCTGTTGTTGAAAAGAAAACCACGCGCCTCCCCCAAAGCGTACGCTCCCACACCTACGAGCCTTAACACCTTTGAGATCCCATCTCATTTGCTACTGCTGGACAGCTGCTCCCACACCGCTCCAACAGTCTCCATAAAACGCTCTAGAAACGACCGTCCGCACAGCCTCTGGATGGCTACTATGAGGTGACCGCACATCTGTCGCCTAGGCGGTCTAAGCGTATCAACATTTAAACCGTTGACTTCTACTGCTGTTCTACTTACTCCTGACTCTACACCCCCCAGGCAGGGCAGCTCGAGCCAAACAGGCACACGCATACACTAATGCTAAACGCTACGAAAGGTTTGATTCCAAGATAACCTCTAAGCGATAAGGACTCTCAGACAAGATACCATGTCAGGCGAGAAGACCTAGAGGGCCACAACTGGGAGGCGAGGAGGCTATACGGCAGCCCCAGAAAGAGTCACACGTTATGGCCCGTTATAAGAAGCTACCGTCAAAACCGAGACGGTGATGAGAAGTACGAGTCCGAATCCTAGGATGGAGGGATGCAGGGACGTCACAGTCCGTGAAAATGGATGCCTAAGGAGCAGAGCTGATGCCGCAGCCGGCGATGATGATGCTGCACGAAAGACTCTCGACTGGAAACTTCCAAGACCTACCCACGCTTCAAGCTTATAACGCAAGAATAAAAAAAGCACCCGATCGGCAGCGTGCGATGAAGATGGGCGTTCGATACCCTAGGGATGGCGCCCGAGGCGCGTGCCGTGCTCCTCGAGCACAAAGAGATGTGAGGACATTTAGAGCCGAGGAAGGACAGAGACACGGCAGACGGAAGAAACAAACTACAAGATGACACACGCAGAGGCGGGAACTGCCCTGCCCGGACACGCTAACATCGAGGGAAAAAGTAATCTGTTCCCTTTACCTGACCGGAGGGCCCCGCTCCTGTACAGCCTTCTCCCCTATGCTAACTTCCAAACACTTCCCTGCAATTCCCAACCTCGTCCCCTCCTCTCGGCCCCGTTCGCTCGACTTAGCTTTCAGAGGCCGGAGGTCCATCTCGACAAAAAATTCCATCCTCGACAAAAGCAGCACAGCAGCTTCACCTGCAAGAAAAAACTAACGGGAGGAAACACAACCGGCTGTTCCCGGGGAGGCCACACAAAAAAAATTTCTGCCTGCCTGTTTTGCCAATCGACGGGGCTAACTCAAAGGACACAGACACCAAGCTAAAGAAATAGGCTTATTTTACTTTCGTTTAAGCAGCAGAAAGAATAAGCCAGGTAACGCACCTAGTCATTACTACATAAAGCTAGCTCTAGTGATTAAGAAAGATACATCACCAATTGCCTTCGTACTTTACCATCATCCAGATCCGTGCATCAGCTGGGGAGCCCCGTCACAGCGAAGGATCGGAGAGCCTTTCCCGGCAATTGGGAAGTCCTACGCAGTGCGTCCACTCGTAGGTAAGGTCTCCGTCTTTGCTGGGAGAGGGTCCGGCTTTTATACAGTTTAACAAACAAGTCTATACAAAATGCACAGCAGATATCTGGTAGGTTGATATGCCTCACTCGGGCATGTCCAGATCTGGCCAGGATCCGGGCACGTCTGAGGAGTTACTCTTTTTCTGTACCTTTGGGATTTATAGTTACTTCCTGTCGTTACTGGTTGTTTCCAGGGATTGTGGGTTGCATTTTCACGCTGATAAGATGCTGGTTGCTGGTCGGGGGATTCACTCAGAAGTCAAGTTTGGTTTGAGGCCGATTGTTTGGCCCTTTTTTGTTTCACTGCCTTCAAAACGCCAGCCTGAGACAGACCTGCGCCCAAACAGGCGACAAATCGCCTCGCAGACCGGCCGGGACCGGGGAGTAAAAACCCAGACAGGGGACAGGAAAAGAAAAATTTTTTGTCCCCCAGCTCTTTTGGGATTTGGGATTTTTGGTTTTTGTGGTTTGGGTTTTGGTTTTTTTTTTTTTTTTTTAATTTCTATTTTGTCTGTCTACTGCCTCTAAACAAAGCTACACAACCTACAGCCCGTAAGGAAAAAACAAAACATCAACCATTCAGGCACTGCTACACACATTTTAAACGCCACACAGCCGGCTACCACTCAAACCACCACGTGTTCTCCCTTGGCCACCCTACCACCAAAACCGCCACAAGCCATCACCCTCCGTGATCCTCAGAAACATCAGGTATGGGGGCCTCAAAAAAATCATCCTGCCTGAAAAAACTCCAGCCTGAGCCTGACCTGCACCCACATCTAGATAACGATCCTTGCGTTGCACACCGGGGGACCAGGGAAAAACTACCCAGGCAGGAGACGGGAAAAACAGAAGTTTATTCCCCTGACAGAGTTTTTCATTAAATCCAGTCTACGTAGTCAAATTGAGCCCCGCCTACATCCTGGAAGAAAAGAGACGACAAATACTCTTACGCGGCTAGACACATTCTAAACGTACCGCTATTCCACCTACCGCCAAAACCAACCCCCACTCTCCACCGGCCCATCCTTCCGCCCAACTGTCACGACAGGCAGTCACCCCCGGAATACTGTTCCTGGGGGACTCGAGCGCCTAGCCTGAGGAAATCCCGGCCCAAACCTGACCTTCACCCACACGCTGACCGTGACCGTCACCCTCAGAGAGCATCTGCGACCGGGTGAAAATAAACCCACCGGGGAGGCAAGACGTCACCCAGTTGGAGGATTTGTTTTCTTATTGAAAACAAACCCATACAGTATACCCGTGAACTCTATTCCACCTATCCCTGGCTCCACACCCCCAGGCAGAGCAGCTCCAAGCCACACAGACACACACAAAATACTAAAAACGACACAATTCAAAGATGACTAAACACTAAGCGATAAGCACACCCAGAAGGGTATGCCGTAAGGCGAGAAGACTCGGAGGGCCACGATGGTGACGCGAGGAGGCTATATGGCAGCCTACAAGAAGCAGTAAGTGGGACGGCCCCTTACGAGAAGCTACCGTCAAAACCGAGACGATGGGTATGCAAGAAGATGGGCTTCAAGACCTAAGAACGTCGGGATACGGGAAAGAAGTCACCGGCAGGAACAACGGATGCCTAAATAGCAGAGCTGACGCCAGAGCCCGCGACGACGCTGCGCAAAAGACTCCCGACTGGAAACTTCCAAGACCTACCCACGCTTTAAGCTTATAACGCAAGAATAAAAAAGCACCCGATCGGCAGCGTGCCGATGAAGATGGGCGTTCGATACCCTAGGGATGGCGCCTGAGGCACGTGCCGTGCTCCTCGAGCCCAAAGAGATGTGAGGACATAGAGATCCGAGGAAGGACAAAGACACGGTAGACAGAAGAAACAAACTACACGTTGACACACGCAGAGGCTGGAACTGCCCTGCCCGGGACACGCTAACATCGAGGGGAAAAGTAATCTGTTCCCTTTACCTGACCGGAGGGCCCCGCTCCTGTGCAGCCTTCTCCCCGTGCTAACTTTCAAACACTTCCCTGCAATTCCAACCTCGGCCCCTCCTCTCGGCCCCGTTCGCTCGACTTAGCTTTCAGAGGGACGGAGGTCCGATTCCATCCTCGACAAAAGCAGCACGGCAGCTAACTAGCACTTCCTGCAGTTGCCGCCTTCCTCTTCACCTGCAAGAAAAAACAAACGGGAGAAAACACAACCGGCCGTTGGCATCGCGCTGCTCCGTGCCTACCTCTTCCACGACACCCCCCCCGTACTCAGAAGCGTCGCGGGGTTCCACTCACGGCTCTTTGCAGAGTCAGATGGTGCAGCCGTCATCGCTGGCGTTACCTAAGATACCGAGAGACAAAGTTACCCTTGCGCTTCTAACGAGTCACCCACGATCCTCCTTGCGACTACCCCGGCTCGCTTCAAACGCTCATCCCATCCCAAAGGCGGCTCCCAAAGCACCTGCAAAAACAAGGCGAGCGCTTAACGGAGCGGTCACACTACTTCCGTATTAGACACCGACCTGGCTGACAACGGCCTCACCTTCTCACACTGTCCGTCTGCGTGCGGCTCGGCCCCTCCGCGGCCATCTGCGGCACCTACAAAAAACTCGAGGAAAAGACACGTGCAGAGTTACCGCCTGAAACTGGGGTCTGCCCGCACCGATTCCCGTCCTGCTCCTTACCTCGGCCCTTCACCTGCCCTGCCGCTGCCGTTTCCAGTTGTCACGTCAAGGCTCGCGTGCCACCTGTAACACACGTACCGCAAGGGACGCTTCTACTTTCACCGACAATTTGATGCCTAAAATAAGAACTGCTACTTTAACCCCCCTAGTCGTGGCTCACCTTGCCCAAGCTGCCTCCGGTGCCAAAATCCTACTTTGCTTGTGGCTCTCCATCTAAAAAACAACAAACAAAAAACACCACAAAACACACCACACACCGCTATCATCCCCTCCGATAGCACCGGTGCCATCTTCCCTCCCGCACCGCTCAGTGACCCACCTTCTCACAGCCCTCCGCTCACCTCCTCCGTCACTCTTTGGGCGCATCTCCTCGATCTGCATGTGAAAACAGTTATGTGAGTCACCCGGATGCTTAACAAATCCGGAGGTGTCACTTCCGGCTAGGGATGCTAGCTGGCATCCAACTACAGCCTGTTGTTGAAAAGAAACCACGCGCCTCCGCCCAAAGCGTACGCTCCCACACCTACGAGCCTTAACACCTTTGAGATCCCATCTCATTTGCTACTGCTGGACAGCTGCTCCCACACCGCTCCAACAGTCTCCATAAAACGCTCTAGAAACGACCGTCCGCACAGCCTCTGGATGGCTACTATGAGGTGACCGCACATCTGTCGCCTAGGCGGTCTAAGCGTATCAACATTTAAACCGTTGACTTCTACTGCTGTTCTACTTACTCCTGACTCTACACCCCCCAGGCAGGGCAGCTCCGAGCCAAACAGGCACACGCATACACTAATGCTAAACGCTACGAAAGGTTTGATTCCAAGATAACCTCTAAGCGATAAGGACTCTCAGACAAGATACCATGTCAGGCGAGAAGACCTAGAGGGCCACAACTGGGAGGCGAGGAGGCTATACGGCAGCCCCAGAAAGAGTCACACGTTATGGCCCGTTATAAGAAGCTACCGTCAAAACCGAGACGGTGGATGAGAAGTACGAGTCCGAATCCTAGGATGGAGGGATGCAGGGAAGACGTCACAGTCCGTGAAAATGGATGCCTAAGGAGCAGAGCTGATGCGCAGCCGGCGATGATGATGCTGCACGAAAGACTCTCGACTGGAAACTTCCAAGACCTACCCACGCTTCAAGCTTATAACGCAAGAATAAAAAAGCACCCGATCGGCAGCGTGCCGATGAAGATGGGCGTTCGATACCCTAGGGATGGCGCCCGAGGCGCGTGCCGTGCTCCTCGAGCACAAAGAGATGTGAGGACATTTAGAGCCGAGGAAGGACAGAGACACGGCAGACGGAAGAAACAAACTACAAGATGACACACGCAGAGGCGGGAACTGCCCTGCCCGGGACACGCTAACATCGAGGGAAAAAGTAATCTGTTCCCTTTACCTGACCGGAGGGCCCCGCTCCTGTACAGCCTTCTCCCCTATGCTAACTTCCAAACACTTCCCTGCAATTCCCAACCTCGTCCCCTCCTCTCGGCCCCGTTCGCTCGACTTAGCTTTCAGAGGGCCGGAGGTCCATCTCGACAAAAAATTCCATCCTCGACAAAAGCAGCACAGCAGCTTCACCTGCAAGAAAAAACTAACGGGAGGAAACACAACCGGCTGTTCCCGGGGAGGCCACACAAAAAAATTTCTGCCTGCCTGTTTTGCCAATCGACGGGGCTAACTCAAAGGACACAGACACCAAGCTAAAGAAATAGGCTTATTTTACTTTCGTTTCAAGCAGCAGAAAGAATAAGCCAGGTAACGCACCTAGTCATTACTACATAAAGCTAGCTCTAGTGATTAAGAAAGATACATCACCAATTGCCTTCGTACTTTACCATCATCCAGATCCGTGCATCAGCTGGGGAGCCCCGTCACAGCGAAGGATCGGAGAGCCTTTCCCGGCAATTGGGAAGTCCTACGCAGTGCGTCCCTCGTAGGTAAGGTCTCCGTCTTTGCTGGGAGAGGGTCCGGCTTTTATACAGTTTAACAAACAAGTCTATACAAAATGCACAGCAGATATCTGGTAGGTTGATATGCCTCACTCGGGCATGTCCAGATCTGGCCAGGATCCGGGCACGTCTGAGGAGTTACTCTTTTTCTGTACCTTTGGGATTTATAGTTACTTCCTGTCGTTTACTGGTTTTGTTTCCCAGGGTTGCATTTCACGCTGATAAGATGCTGGTTGCTGGTCGGGGATTCACTCAGAAGTCAACCTTGGTTTGAGGCCGATTGTGTGGCCCTTTTTTGTTTCACTGCCTTCAAAACGCCAGCCTGAGACAGACCTGCGCCCAAACACAGGCGACAAAAGTCGCCTCGCAGACCGGCCGGGACCGGGGAGTAAAAACCCAGACAGGGGACAGGAAAAAAAAAATTTTTTGTCCCCAGCTCTTTTGGGATTTTGGGATTTTTGGTTTTGTGTGGTTTGGGTTTTTTTTTTTTTTTTTTTTTTTAATTTCTATTTTGTCTGTCTACTGCCTCTAAACAAAGCTACACAACCTACAGCCCGTAAGGAAAAACAAAACATCAACCATTCAGGCACTGCTACACACATTTTAAACGCCACACAGCCGGCTACCACTCAAACCACCACGTGTTCTCCCCCTTGGCCACCCTACCACCAAAACCGCCACAAGCCATCACCCTCCGTGATCCTCAGAAACATCAGGTATGGGGGCCTCAAAAAAATCATCCTGCCTGAAAAAACTCCAGCCTGAGCCTGACCTGCACCCACATCTAGATAACGATCCTTGCGTTGCACACCGGCCGGGACCAGGGAAAAACTACCCAGGCAGGAGACGGGAAAAAACAGAAGTTTATTCCCTGACAGAGTTTTTCATTAAATCCAGTCTACGTAGTCAAATTGAGCCCGCCTACATCCTGGAAGAAAAGAGACACAAATACTCTTACGCGGCTAGACACATTCTAAACGTACCGCTATTCCACCTACCGCCAAAACCAACCCCCACTCTCCACCGGCCCATCCTTCCGCCCAACTGTCACGACAGGCAGTCACCCCCGGAATACTGTTCCTGGGGGACTCGAGCGCCTAGCCTGAGGAAATCCCGGCCCAAACCTGACCTTCACCCACACGCTGACCGTGACCGTCACCCTCAGAGAGCATCTGCGACCGGGTGAAAAATAAACCCCACCGGGGAGGCAAAGACGTCACCCAGTTGGAGGATTTGTTTTCTATTGAAAACAAACCCATACAGTATACCCGTGAACTCTATTCCACCTATCCCTGGCTCCACACCCCCAGGCAGAGCAGCTCCAAGCCACACAGACACACACAAAATACTAAAAACGACACAATTCAAAGATGACTAAACACTAAGCGATAAGCACACCCAGAAGGGTATGCCGTAAGGCGAGAAGACTCGGAGGGCCACGATGGTGACGCGAGGAGGCTATATGGCAGCCTACAAGAAGCAGTAAGTGGGACGGCCCCTTACGAGAAGCTACCGTCAAAACCGAGACGATGGGTATGCAAGAAGATGGGCTTCAAGACCTAAGAACGTCGGGATACGGGAAAGAAGTCACCGGCAGGAACAACGGATGCCTAAATAGCAGAGCTGACGCCAGAGCCCGCGACGACGCTGCGCAAAAGACTCCCGACTGGAAACTTCCAAGACCTACCCACGCTTTAAGCTTATAACGCAAGAATAAAAAAGCACCCGATCGGCAGCGTGCCGATGAAGATGGGCGTTCGATACCCTAGGGATGGCGCCTGAGGCACGTGCCGTGCTCCTCGAGCCCAAAGAGATGTGAGGACATAGAGATCCGAGGAAGGACAAAGACACGGTAGACAGAAGAAACAAAACTACACGTTGACACACGCAGAGGCTGGAACTGCCCTGCCCGGGACACGCTAACATCGAGGGGAAAAGTAATCTGTTCCCTTTACCTGACCGGAGGGCCCCGCTCCTGTGCAGCCTTCTCCCCGTGCTAACTTTCAAACACTTCCCTGCAATTCCCAACCTCGGCCCTCCTCTCGGCCCCGTTCGCTCGACTTAGCTTTCAGAGGGACGGAGGTCCGATTCCATCCTCGACAAAAGCAGCACGGCAGCTAACTAGCACGTTCCTGCAGTTGCCGCCTTCCTCTTCACCTGCAAGAAAAACAAACGGGAGAAAACACAACCGGCCGTTGGCATCGCGCTGCTCCGTGCCTACCTCTTCCACGACACCCCCCCGTACTCAGAAGCGTCGCGGGGTTCCACTCACGGGCTCTTTGCAGAGTCAGATGGTGCAGCCGTCATCGCTGGCGTTACCTAAGATACCGAGAGACAAAGTTACCCTTGCGCTTCTAACGAGTCACCCACGATCCTCCTTGCGACTACCCCGGCTCGCTTCAAACGCTCATCCCATCCCAAAGGCGGCTCCCAAAGCACCTGCAAAAACAAGGCGAGCGCTTAACGGAGCGGTCACACGATACTTCCGTATTAGACACCGACCTGGCTGACAACGGCCTCACCTTCTCACACTGTCCGTCTGCGTGCGGCTCGGCCCCTCCGCGGCCATCTGCGGCACCTACAAAAAACTCGAGGAAAAGACACGTGCAGAGTTACCGCCTGAAACTGGGGTCTGCCCGCACCGATTCCCGTCTCCTGCTCCCTTACCTCGGCCCTTCACCTGCCCTGCCGCTGCCGTTTCCAGTTGTCACGTCAAGGCTCGCGTGCCACCTGTAACACACGTACCGCAAGGGACGCTTCTACTTTCACCGACAATTTGATGCCTAAAATAAGAACTGCTACTTTAACCCCCCTAGTCGTGGCTCACCTTGCCCAAGCTGCCTCCGGTGCCAAAATCCTACTTTGCTTGTGGCTCTCCATCTAAAAAACAACAAACAAAAAACACCACAAAACACACCACACACCGCTATCATCCCCTCCGATAGCACCGGTGCCATCTTCCCTCCCGCACCGCTCAGTGACCCACCTTCTCACAGCCCTCCGCTCACCTCCTCCGTCACTCTTTGGGGCGCATCTCCTCGATCTGCATGTGAAAACAGTTATGTGAGTCACCCGGATGCTTAACAAATCCGGAGGTGTCACTTCGGCTAGGGATGCTAGCTGGCATCCAACTACAGCCTGTTGTTGAAAAGAAAACCACGCGCCTCCGCCCAAAGCGTACGCTCCCACACCTACGAGCCTTAACACCTTTGAGATCCCATCTCATTTGCTACTGCTGGACAGCTGCTCCCACACCGCTCCAACAGTCTCCATAAAACGCTCTAGAAACGACCGTCCGCACAGCCTCTGGATGGCTACTATGAGGTGACCGCACATCTGTCGCCTAGGCGGTCTAAGCGTATCAACATTTAAACCGTTGACTTCTACTGCTGTTTCTACTTACTCCTGACTCTACACCCCCCAGGCAGGGCAGCTCCGAGCCAAACAGGCACACGCATACACTAATGCTAAACGCTACGAAAGGTTTGATTCCAAGATAACCTCTAAGCGATAAGGACTCTCAGACAAGATACCATGTCAGGCGAGAAGACCTAGAGGGCCACAACTGGGAGGCGAGGAGGCTATACGGCAGCCCCAGAAAGAGTCACACGTTATGGCCCGTTATAAGAAGCTACCGTCAAAACCGAGACGGTGGATGAGAAGTACGAGTCCGAATCCTAGGATGGAGGGATGCAGGGAAGACGTCACAGTCCGTGAAAATGGATGCCTAAGGAGCAGAGCTGATGCCGCAGCCGGCGATGATGATGCTGCACGAAAGACTCTCGACTGGAAACTTCCAAGACCTACCACGCTTCAAGCTTATAACGCAAGAATAAAAAGCACCCGATCGGCAGCGTGCCGATGAAGATGGGCGTTCGATACCCTAGGGATGGCGCCCGAGGCGCGTGCCGTGCTCCTCGAGCACAAAGAGATGTGAGGACATTTAGAGCCGAGGAAGGACAGAGACACGGCAGACGGAAGAAACAAACTACAAGATGACACACGCAGAGGCGGGAACTGCCCTGCCCGGGACACGCTAACATCGAGGGAAAAAGTAATCTGTTCCCTTACCTGACCGGAGGGCCCCGCTCCTGTACAGCCTTCTCCCCTATGCTAACTTCCAAACACTTCCCTGCAATTCCCAACCTCGTCCCCTCCTCTCGGCCCCGTTCGCTCGACTTAGCTTTCAGAGGGCCGGAGGTCCATCTCGACAAAAAATTCCATCCTCGACAAAAGCAGCACAGCAGCTTCACCTGCAAGAAAAAACTAACGGGAGGAAACACAACCGGCTGTTCCCGGGGAGGCCACACAAAAAATTTCTGCCTGCCTGTTTTGCCAATCGACGGGGCTAACTCAAAGGACACAGACACCAAGCTAAAGAAATAGGCTTATTTTACTTTCGTTTAAAGCAGCAGAAAGAATAAGCCAGGTAACGCACCTAGTCATTACTACATAAAGCTAGCTCTAGTGATTAAGAAAGATACATCACCAATTGCCTTCGTACTTTACCATCATCCAGATCCGTGCATCAGCTGGGGAGCCCCGTCACAGCGAAGGATCGGAGAGCCTTTCCCGGCAATTGGGAAGTCCTACGCAGTGCGTCCACTCGTAGGTAAGGTCTCCGTCTTTGCTGGGAGGGTCCGGCTTTTATACAGTTTAACAAACAAGTCTATACAAAATGCACAGCAGATATCTGGTAGGTTGATATGCCTCACTCGGGCATGTCCAGATCTGGCCAGGATCCGGGCACGTCTGAGGAGTTACTCTTTTTCTGTACCTTTGGGATTTATAGTTACTTCCTGTCGTTTACTGGTTGTTTCCAGGGATTGTTCCAGGGTTGCATTTTCACGCTGATAAGATGCTGGTTGCTGGTCGGGGGATTCACTCAGAAGTCAACCTTGGTTTGAGGCCGATTGTGTGGCCCTTTTTTGTTTCACTGCCTTCAAAACGCCAGCCTGAGACAGACCTGCGCCCAAACACAGGCGACAAAAGTCGCCTCGCAGACCGGCCGGGACCGGGGAGTAAAAACCAGACAGGGGACAGGAAAAGAAAAAATTTTTTGTCCCCCAGCTCTTTTGGGATTTGGGATTTTTTTGGTTTTGTGGTTTGGGTTTTTTTTTTTTTTTTTTTTTAATTTCTATTTTGTCTGTCTACTGCCTCTAAACAAAGCTACACAACCTACAGCCCGTAAGGAAAAACAAACATCAACCATTCAGGCACTGCTACACACATTTTAAACGCCACACAGCCGGCTACCACTCAAACCACCACGTGTTCTCCCCTTGGCCACCCTACCACCAAAACCGCCACAAGCCATCACCCTCCGTGATCCTCAGAAACATCAGGTATGGGGGCCTCAAAAAAATCATCCTGCCTGAAAAAACTCCAGCCTGAGCCTGACCTGCACCCACATCTAGATAACGATCCTTGCGTTGCACACCGGCCGGGACCAGGGAAAAACTACCCAGGCAGGAGACGGGAAAAACAGAAGTTTATTCCCCTGACAGAGTTTTTCATTAAATCCAGTCTACGTAGTCAAATTGAGCCCCGCCTACATCCTGGAAGAAAAGAGACGACAAATACTCTTACGCGGCTAGACACATTCTAAACGTACCGCTATTCCACCTACCGCCAAAACCAACCCCCACTCTCCACCGGCCCATCCTTCCGCCCAACTGTCACGACAGGCAGTCACCCCCGGAATACTGTTCCTGGGGGACTCGAGCGCCTAGCCTGAGGAAATCCCGGCCCAAACCTGACCTTCACCCACACGCTGACCGTGACCGTCACCCTCAGAGAGCATCTGCGACCGGGTGAAAATAAACCCCACCGGGAGGCAAAGACGTCACCCAGTTGGAGGATTTGTTTTCTTATTGAAAACAAACCCATACAGTATACCCGTGAACTCTATTCCACCTATCCCTGGCTCCACACCCCAGGCAGAGCAGCTCCAAGCCACACAGACACACACAAAATACTAAAAACGACACAATTCAAAGATGACTAAACACTAAGCGATAAGCACACCCAGAAGGGTATGCCGTAAGGCGAGAAGACTCGGAGGGCCACGATGGTGACGCGAGGAGGCTATATGGCAGCCTACAAGAAGCAGTAAGTGGGACGGCCCCTTACGAGAAGCTACCGTCAAAACCGAGACGATGGGTATGCAAGAAGATGGGCTTCAAGACCTAAGAACGTCGGGATACGGGAAAGAAGTCACCGGCAGGAACAACGGATGCCTAAATAGCAGAGCTGACGCCAGAGCCCGCGACGACGCTGCGCAAAAGACTCCCGACTGGAAACTTCCAAGGCCTACCCACGCTTTAAGCTTATAACGCAAGAATAAAAAAGCACCCGATCGGCAGCGTGCCGATGAAGATGGGCGTTCGATACCCTAGGGATGGCGCCTGAGGCACGTGCCGTGCTCCTCGAGCCCAAAGAGATGTGAGGACATAGAGATCCGAGGAAGGACAAAGACACGGTAGACAGAAGAAACAAAACTACACGTTGACACACGCAGAGGCTGGAACTGCCCTGCCCGGGACACGCTAACATCGAGGGGAAAAGTAATCTGTTCCCTTTACCTGACCGGAGGGCCCCGCTCCTGTGCAGCCTTCTCCCCGTGCTAACTTTCAAACACTTCCCTGCAATTCCCAACCTCGGCCCCTCCTCTCGGCCCCGTTCGCTCGACTTAGCTTTCAGAGGGACGGAGGTCCGATTCCATCCTCGACAAAAGCAGCACGGCAGCTAACTAGCACGTTCCTGCAGTTGCCGCCTTCCTCTTCACCTGCAAGAAAAAACAAACGGGAGAAAACACAACCGGCCGTTGGCATCGCGCTGCTCCGTGCCTACCTCTTCCACGACACCCCCCCCGTACTCAGAAGCGTCGCGGGGTTCCACTCACGGGCTCTTTGCAGAGTCAGATGGTGCAGCCGTCATCGCTGGCGTTACCTAAGATACCGAGAGACAAAGTTACCCTTGCGCTTCTAACGAGTCACCCACGATCCTCCTTGCGACTACCCCGGCTCGCTTCAAACGCTCATCCATCCCAAAGGCGGCTCCCAAAGCACCTGCAAAAACAAGGCGAGCGCTTAACGGAGCGGTCACACGATACTTCCGTATTAGACACCGACCTGGCTGACAACGGCCTCACCTTCTCACACTGTCCGTCTGCGTGCGGCTCGGCCCCTCCGCGGCCATCTGCGGCACCTACAAAAAACTCGAGGAAAAGACACGTGCAGAGTTACCGCCTGAAACTGGGGTCTGCCCGCACCGATTCCCGTCTCCTGCTCCCTTACCTCGGCCCTTCACCTGCCCTGCCGCTGCCGTTTCCAGTTGTCACGTCAAGGCTCGGTGCCACCTGTAACACACGTACCGCAAGGGACGCTTCTACTTTCACCGACAATTTGATGCCTAAAATAAGAACTGCTACTTTAACCCCCCTAGTCGTGGCTCACCTTGCCCAAGCTGCCTCCGGTGCCAAAATCCTACTTTGCTTGTGGCTCTCCATCTAAAAAACAACAAACAAAAAACACCACAAAACACACCACACACCGCTATCATCCCCTCCGATAGCACCGGTGCCATCTTCCCCCCGCACCGCTCAGTGACCCACCTTCTCACAGCCCTCCGCTCACCTCCTCCGTCACTCTTTGGGGCGCATCTCCTCGATCTGCATGTGAAAACAGTTATGTGAGTCACCCGGATGCTTAACAAATCCGGAGGTGTCACTTCCGGCTAGGGATGCTAGCTGGCATCCAACTACAGCCTGTTGTTGAAAAGAAAACCACGCGCCTCCGCCCAAAGCGTACGCTCCCACACCTACGAGCCTTAACACCTTTGAGATCCCATCTCATTTGCTACTGCTGGACAGCTGCTCCCACACCGCTCCAACAGTCTCCATAAAACGCTCTAGAAACGACCGTCCGCACAGCCTCTGGATGGCTACTATGAGGTGACCGCACATCTGTCGCCTAGGCGGTCTAAGCGTATCAACATTTAAACCGTTGACTTCTACTGCTGTTCTACTTACTCCTGACTCTACACCCCCCAGGCAGGGCAGCTCCGAGCCAAACAGGCACACGCATACACTAATGCTAAACGCTACGAAAGGTTTGATTCCAAGATAACCTCTAAGCGATAAGGACTCTCAGACAAGATACCATGTCAGGCGAGAAGACCTAGAGGGCCACAACTGGGAGGCGAGGAGGCTATACGGCAGCCCCAGAAAGAGTCACACGTTATGGCCCGTTATAAGAAGCTACCGTCAAAACCGAGACGGTGGATGAGAAGTACGAGTCCGAATCCTAGGATGGAGGGATGCAGGGAAGACGTCACAGTCCGTGAAAATGGATGCCTAAGGAGCAGAGCTGATGCCGCAGCCGGCGATGATGATGCTGCACGAAAGACTCTCGACTGGAAACTTCCAAGACCTACCCACGCTTCAAGCTTATAACGCAAGAATAAAAAGCACCCGATCGGCAGCGTGCCGATGAAGATGGGCGTTCGATACCCTAGGGATGGCGCCCGAGGCGCGTGCCGTGCTCCTCGAGCACAAAGAGATGTGAGGACATTTAGAGCCGAGGAAGGACAGAGACACGGCAGACGGAAGAAACAAACTACAAGATGACACACGCAGAGGCGGGAACTGCCCTGCCCGGGACACGCTAACATCGAGGGAAAAAGTAAACTGTTCCCTTTACCTGACCGGAGGGCCCCGCTCCTGTACAGCCTTCTCCCCTATGCTAACTTCCAAACACTTCCCTGCAATTCCCAACCTCGTCCCCTCCTCTCGGCCCCGTTCGCTCGACTTAGCTTTCAGAGGGCCGGAGGTCCATCTCGACAAAAAATTCCATCCTCGACAAAAGCAGCACAGCAGCTTCACCTGCAAGAAAAAACTAACGGGAGGAAACACAACCGGCTGTTCCCGGGGAGGCCACACAAAAAAATTTCTGCCTGCCTGTTTTGCCAATCGACGGGGCTAACTCAAAGGACACAGACACCAAGCTAAAGAAATAGGCTTATTTTACTTTCGTTTCAAGCAGCAGAAAGAATAAGCCAGGTAACGCACCTAGTCATTACTACATAAAGCTAGCTCTAGTGATTAAGAAAGATACATCACCAATTGCCTTCGTACTTTACCATCATCCAGATCCGTGCATCAGCTGGGGAGCCCAGTCACAGCGAAGGATCGGAGAGCCTTTCCCGGCAATTGGGAAGTCCTACGCAGTGCGTCCACTCGTAGGTAAGGTCTCCGTCTTTGCTGGGAGAGGGTCCGGCTTTTATACAGTTTAACAAACAAGTCTATACAAAATGCACAGCAGATATCCGGTAGGTTGATATGCCTCACTCGGGCATGTCCAGATCTGGCCAGGATCCGGGCACGTCTGAGGAGTTACTCTTTTTCTGTACCTTTGGGATTTATAGTTACTTCCTGTCGTTTACTGGTTGTTTCCAGGGATTGTTCCCAGGGTTGCATTTTCACGCTGATAAGATGCTGGCTGCTGGTCGGGGGATTCACTCAGAAGTCAACCTTGGTTTGAGGCCGATTGTGTGGCCCTTTTTTGTTTCACTGCCTTCAAAACGCCAGCCTGAGACAGACCTGCGCCCAAACACAGGCGACAAAAGTCGCCTCGCAGACCGGCCGGGACCGGGGAGTAAAAACCCAGACAGGGGACAGGAAAAGAAAAAATTTTTTGTCCCCCAGCTCTTTTGGGATTTTGGGATTTTTGGTTTTGTGTGGTTGGGTTTTTTTTTTTTTTTTTTTTTTAATTTCTATTTTGTCTGTCTACTGCCTCTAAACAAAGCTACACAACCTACAGCCCGTAAGGAAAAAACAAAACATCAACCATTCAGGCACTGCTACACACATTTTAAACGCCACACAGCTGGCTACCACTCAAACCACCACGTGTTCTCCCCTTGGCCACCCTACCACCAAAACCGCCACAAGCCATCACCCTCCGTGATCCTCAGAAACATCAGGTATGGGGGCCTCAAAAAAATCATCCTGCCTGAAAAAACTCCAGCCTGAGCCTGACCTGCACCCACATCTAGATAACGATCCTTGCGTTGCACACCGGCCGGGACCAGGGAAAAACTACCCAGGCAGGAGACGGGAAAAACAGAAGTTTATTCCCCTGACAGAGTTTTTCATTAAATCCAGTCTACGTAGTCAAATTGAGCCCCGCCTACATCCTGGAAGAAAAGAGACGACAAATACTCTTACGCGGCTAGACACATTCTAAACGTTCCGCTATTCCACCTACCGCCAAAACCAACCCCCACTCTCCACCGGCCCATCCTTCCGCCCAACTGTCACGACAGGCAGTCACCCCCGGAATACTGTTCCTGGGGGACTCGAGCGCCTAGCCTGAGGAAATCCCGGCCCAAACCTGACCTTCACCCACACGCTGACCGTGACCGTCACCCTCAGAGAGCATCTGCGACCGGGTGAAAATAAACCCCACCGGGGAGGCAAAGACGTCACCCAGTTGGAGGATTTGTTTTCTTATTGAAAACAAACCCATACAGTATACCCGTGAACTCTATTCCACCTATCCCTGGCTCCACACCCCCAGGCAGAGCAGCTCCAAGCCACACAGACACACACAAAATACTAAAAACGACACAATTCAAAGATGACTAAACACTAAGCGATAAGCACACCCAGAAGGGTATGCCGTAAGGCGAGAAGACTCGGAGGGCCACGATGGTGACGCGAGGAGGCTATATGGCAGCCTACAAGAAGCAGTAAGTGGGACGGCCCCTTACGAGAAGCTACCGTCAAAACCGAGACGATGGGTATGCAAGAAGATGGGCTTCAAGACCTAAGAACGTCGGGATACGGGAAAGAAGTCACCGGCAGGAACAACGGATGCCTAAATAGCAGAGCTGACGCCAGAGCCCGCGACGACGCTGCGCAAAAGACTCCCGACTGGAAACTTCCAAGACCTACCCACGCTTTAAGCTTATAACGCAAGAATAAAAAAGCACCCGATCGGCAGCGTGCCGATGAAGATGGGCGTTCGATACCCTAGGGATGGCGCCTGAGGCACGTGCCGTGCTCCTCGAGCCCAAAGAGATGTGAGGACATAGAGATCCGAGGAAGGACAAAGACACGGTAGACAGAAGAAACAAAACTACACGTTGACACACGCAGAGGCTGGAACTGCCCTGCCCGGGACACGCTAACATCGAGGGGAAAAGTAATCTGTTCCCTTTACCTGACCGGAGGGCCCCGCTCCTGTGCAGCCTTCTCCCCGTGCTAACTTTCAAACACTTCCCTGCAATTCCCAACCTCGGCCCCTCCTCTCGGCCCCGTTCGCTCGACTTAGCTTTCAGAGGGACGGAGGTCCGATTCCATCCTCGACAAAAGCAGCACGGCAGCTAACTAGCACTTTCCTGCAGTTGCCGCCTTCCTCTTCACCTGCAAGAAAAAACAAACGGGAGAAAACACAACCGGCCGTTGGCATCGCGCTGCTCCGTGCCTACCTCTTCCACGACACCCCCCCGTACTCAGAAGCGTCGCGGGGTTCCACTCACGGGCTCTTTGCAGAGTCAGATGGTGCAGCCGTCATCGCTGGCGTTACCTAAGATACCGAGAGACAAAGTTACCCTTGCGCTTCTAACGAGTCACCCACGATCCTCCTTGCGACTACCCCGGCTCGCTTCAAACGCTCATCCGATCCCAAAGGCGGCTCCCAAAGCACCTGCAAAAACAAGGCGAGCGCTTAACGGAGCGGTCACACGATACTTCCGTATTAGACACCGACCTGGCTGACAACGGCCTCACCTTCTCACACTGTCCGTCTGCGTGCGGCTCGGCCCCTCCGCGGCCATCTGCGGCACCTACAAAAAACTCGAGGAAAAGACACGTGCAGAGTTACCGCCTGAAACTGGGGTCTGCCCGCACCGATTCCCGTCTCCTGCTCCCTTACCTCGGCCCTTCACCTGCCCTGCCGCTGCCGTTTCCAGTTGTCACGTCAAGGCTCGCGTGCCACCTGTAACACACGTACCGCAAGGGACGCTTCTACTTTCACCGACAATTTGATGCCTAAAATAAGAACTGCTACTTTAACCCCCCTAGTCGTGGCTCACCTTGCCCAAGCTGCCTCCGGTGCCAAAATCCTACTTTGCTTGTGGCTCTCCATCTAAAAAACAACAAACAAAAAACACCACAAAACACACCACACACCGCTATCATCCCCTCCGATAGCACCGGTGCCATCTTCCCTCCCGCACCGCTCAGTGACCCACCTTCTCACAGCCCTCCGCTCACCTCCTCCGTCACTCTTTGGGGCGCATCTCCTCGATCTGCATGTGAAAACAGTTATGTGAGTCACCCGGATGCTTAACAAATCCGGAGGTGTCACTTCCGGCTAGGGATGCTAGCTGGCATCCAACTACAGCCTGTTGTTGAAAAGAAAACCACGCGCCTCCGCCCAAAGCGTACGCTCCCACACCTACGAGCCTTAACACCTTTGAGATCCCATCTCATTTGCTACTGCTGGACAGCTGCTCCCACACCGCTCCAACAGTCTCCATAAAACGCTCTAGAAACGACCGTCCGCACAGCCTCTGGATGGCTACTATGAGGTGACCGCACATCTGTCGCCTAGGCGGTCTAAGCGTATCAACATTTAAACCGTTGACTTCTACTGCTGTTCTACTTACTCCTGACTCTACACCCCCCAGGCAGGGCAGCTCCGAGCCAAACAGGCACACGCATACACTAATGCTAAACGCTACGAAAGGTTTGATTCCAAGATAACCTCTAAGCGATAAGGACTCTCAGACAAGATACCATGTCAGGCGAGAAGACCTAGAGGGCCACAACTGGGAGGCGAGGAGGCTATACGGCAGCCCCAGAAAGAGTCACACGTTATGGCCCGTTATAAGAAGCTACCGTCAAAACCGAGACGGTGGATGAGAAGTACGAGTCCGAATCCTAGGATGGAGGGATGCAGGGAAGACGTCACAGTCCGTGAAAATGGATGCCTAAGGAGCAGAGCTGATGCCGCAGCCGGCGATGATGATGCTGCACGAAAGACTCTCGACTGGAAACTTCCAAGACCTACCCACGCTTCAAGCTTATAACGCAAGAATAAAAAAGCACCCGATCGGCAGCGTGCCGATGAAGATGGGCGTTCGATACCCTAGGGATGGCGCCCGAGGCGCGTGCCGTGCTCCTCGAGCACAAAGAGATGTGAGGACATTTAGAGCCGAGGAAGGACAGAGACACGGCAGACGGAAGAAACAAACTACAAGATGACACACGCAGAGGCGGGAACTGCCCTGCCCGGGACACGCTAACATCGAGGGAAAAAGTAATCTGTTCCCTTTACCTGACCGGAGGGCCCCGCTCCTGTACAGCCTTCTCCCCTATGCTAACTTCCAAACACTTCCCTGCAATTCCCAACCTCGTCCCCTCCTCTCGGCCCCGTTCGCTCGACTTAGCTTTCAGAGGGCCGGAGGTCCATCTCGACAAAAAATTCCATCCTCGACAAAAGCAGCACAGCAGCTTCACCTGCAAGAAAAAACTAACGGGAGGAAACACAACCGGCTGTTCCCGGGGAGGCCACACAAAAAAATTTCTGCCTGCCTGTTTTGCCAATCGACGGGGCTAACTCAAAGGACACAGACACCAAGCTAAAGAAATAGGCTTATTTTACTTTCGTTTCAAGCAGCAGAAAGAATAAGCCAGGTAACGCACCTAGTCATTACTACATAAAGCTAGCTCTAGTGATTAAGAAAGATACATCACCAATTGCCTTCGTACTTTACCATCATCCAGATCCGTGCATCAGCTGGGGAGCCCCGTCACAGCGAAGGATCGGAGAGCCTTTCCCGGCAATTGGGAAGTCCTACGCAGTGCGTCCACTCGTAGGTAAGGTCTCCGTCTTTGCTGGGAGAGGGTCCGGCTTTTATACAGTTTAACAAACAAGTCTATACAAAATGCACAGCAGATATCTGGTAGGTTGATATGCCTCACTCGGGCATGTCCAGATCTGGCCAGGATCCGGGCACGTCTGAGGAGTTACTCTTTTTCTGTACCTTTGGGATTTATAGTTACTTCCTGTCGTTTACTGGTTGTTTCCAGGGATTGTTCCCAGGGTTGCATTTTCACGCTGATAAGATGCTGGTTGCTGGTCGGGGGATTCACTCAGAAGTCAACCTTGGTTTGAGGCCGATTGTGTGGCCCTTTTTTGTTTCACTGCCTTCAAAACGCCAGCCTGAGACAGACCTGCGCCCAAACACAGGCGACAAAAGTCGCCTCGCAGACCGGCCGGGACCGGGGAGTAAAAACCCAGACAGGGGACAGGAAAAGAAAAAATTTTTTGTCCCCCAGCTCTTTTGGGATTTTTGGTTTTGTGTGGTTTGGGTTTTTTTTTTTTTTTTTTTTTTTAATTTCTATTTTGTCTGTCTACTGCCTCTAAACAAAGCTACACAACCTACAGCCCGTAAGGAAAAAACAAAACATCAACCATTCAGGCACTGCTACACACATTTTAAACGCCACACAGCCGGCTACCACTCAAACCACCACGTGTTCTCCCCTTGGCCACCCTACCACCAAAACCGCCACAAGCCATCACCCTCCGTGATCCTCAGAAACATCAGGTATGGGGGCCTCAAAAAAATCATCCTGCCTGAAAAAACTCCAGCCTGAGCCTGACCTGCACCCACATCTAGATAACGATCCTTGCGTTGCACACCGGTCGGGACCAGGGAAAAACTACCCAGGCAGGAGACGGGAAAAACAGAAGTTTATTCCCCTGACAGAGTTTTTCATTAAATCCAGTCTACGTAGTCAAATTGAGCCCCGCCTACATCCTGGAAGAAAAGAGACGACAAATACTCTTACGCGGCTAGACACATTCTAAACGTTCCGCTATTCCACCTACCGCCAAAACCAACCCCCACTCTCCACCGGCCCATCCTTCCGCCCAACTGTCACGACAGGCAGTCACCCCCGGAATACTGTTCCTGGGGGACTCGAGCGCCTAGCCTGAGGAAATCCCGGCCCAAACCTGACCTTCACCCACACGCTGACCGTGACCGTCACCCTCAGAGAGCATCTGCGACCGGGTGAAAATAAACCCCACCGGGGAGGCAAAGACGTCACCCAGTTGGAGGATTTGTTTTCTTATTGAAAACAAACCCATACAGTATACCCGTGAACTCTATTCCACCTATCCCTGGCTCCACACCCCCAGGCAGAGCAGCTCCAAGCCACACAGACACACACAAAATACTAAAAACGACACAATTCAAAGATGACTAAACACTAAGCGATAAGCACACCCAGAAGGGTATGCCGTAAGGCGAGAAGACTCGGAGGGCCACGATGGTGACGCGAGGAGGCTATATGGCAGCCTACAAGAAGCAGTAAGTGGGACGGCCCCTTACGAGAAGCTACCGTCAAAACCGAGACGATGGGTATGCAAGAAGATGGGCTTCAAGACCTAAGAACGTCGGGATACGGGAAAGAAGTCACCGGCAGGAACAACGGATGCCTAAATAGCAGAGCTGACGCCAGAGCCCGCGACGACGCTGCGCAAAAGACTCCCGACTGGAAACTTCCAAGACCTACCCACGCTTTAAGCTTATAACGCAAGAATAAAAAAGCACCCGATCGGCAGCGTGCCGATGAAGATGGGCGTTCGATACCCTAGGGATGGCGCCTGAGGCACGTGCCGTGCTCCTCGAGCCCAAAGAGATGTGAGGACATAGAGATCCGAGGAAGGACAAAGACACGGTAGACAGAAGAAACAAAACTACACGTTGACACACGCAGAGGCTGGAACTGCCCTGCCCGGGACACGCTAACATCGAGGGGAAAAGTAATCTGTTCCCTTTACCTGACCGGAGGGCCCCGCTCCTGTGCAGCCTTCTCCCCGTGCTAACTTTCAAACACTTCCCTGCAATTCCCAACCTCGGCCCCTCCTCTCGGCCCCGTTCGCTCGACTTAGCTTTCAGAGGGACGGAGGTCCGATTCCATCCTCGACAAAAGCAGCACGGCAGCTAACTAGCACGTTCCTGCAGTTGCCGCCTTCCTCTTCACCTGCAAGAAAAAACAAACGGGAGAAAACACAACCGGCCGTTGGCATCGCGCTGCTCCGTGCCTACCTCTTCCACGACACCCCCCCCGTACTCAGAAGCGTCGCGGGGTTCCACTCACGGGCTCTTTGCAGAGTCAGATGGTGCAGCCGTCATCGCTGGCGTTACCTAAGATACCGAGAGACAAAGTTACCCTTGCGCTTCTAACGAGTCACCCACGATCCTCCTTGCGACTACCCCGGCTCGCTTCAAACGCTCATCCGATCCCAAAGGCGGCTCCCAAAGCACCTGCAAAAACAAGGCGAGCGCTTAACGGAGCGGTCACACGATACTTCCGTATTAGACACCGACCTGGCTGACAACGGCCTCACCTTCTCACACTGTCCGTCTGCGTGCGGCTCGGCCCCTCCGCGGCCATCTGCGGCACCTACAAAAAACTCGAGGAAAAGACACGTGCAGAGTTACCGCCTGAAACTGGGGTCTGCCCGCACCGATTCCCGTCTCCTGCTCCCTTACCTCGGCCCTTCACCTGCCCTGCCGCTGCCGTTTCCAGTTGTCACGTCAAGGCTCGCGTGCCACCTGTAACACACGTACCGCAAGGGACGCTTCTACTTTCACCGACAATTTGATGCCTAAAATAAGAACTGCTACTTTAACCCCCCTAGTCGTGGCTCACCTTGCCCAAGCTGCCTCCGGTGCCAAAATCCTACTTTGCTTGTGGCTCTCCATCTAAAAAACAACAAACAAAAAACACCACAAAACACACCACACACCGCTATCATCCCCTCCGATAGCACCGGTGCCATCTTCCCTCCCGCACCGCTCAGTGACCCACCTTCTCACAGCCCTCCGCTCACCTCCTCCGTCACTCTTTGGGGCGCATCTCCTCGATCTGCATGTGAAAACAGTTATGTGAGTCACCCGGATGCTTAACAAATCCGGAGGTGTCACTTCCGGCTAGGGATGCTAGCTGGCATCCAACTACAGCCTGTTGTTGAAAAGAAAACCACGCGCCTCCGCCCAAAGCGTACGCTCCCACACCTACGAGCCTTAACACCTTTGAGATCCCATCTCATTTGCTACTGCTGGACAGCTGCTCCCACACCGCTCCAACAGTCTCCATAAAACGCTCTAGAAACGACCGTCCGCACAGCCTCTGGATGGCTACTATGAGGTGACCGCACATCTGTCGCCTAGGCGGTCTAAGCGTATCAACATTTAAACCGTTGACTTCTACTGCTGTTCTACTTACTCCTGACTCTACACCCCCCAGGCAGGGCAGCTCCGAGCCAAACAGGCACACGCATACACTAATGCTAAACGCTACGAAAGGTTTGATTCCAAGATAACCTCTAAGCGATAAGGACTCTCAGACAAGATACCATGTCAGGCGAGAAGACCTAGAGGGCCACAACTGGGAGGCGAGGAGGCTATACGGCAGCCCCAGAAAGAGTCACACGTTATGGCCCGTTATAAGAAGCTACCGTCAAAACCGAGACGGTGGATGAGAAGTACGAGTCCGAATCCTAGGATGGAGGGATGCAGGGAAGACGTCACAGTCCGTGAAAATGGATGCCTAAGGAGCAGAGCTGATGCCGCAGCCGGCGATGATGATGCTGCACGAAAGACTCTCGACTGGAAACTTCCAAGACCTACCCACGCTTCAAGCTTATAACGCAAGAATAAAAAAGCACCCGATCGGCAGCGTGCCGATGAAGATGGGCGTTCGATACCCTAGGGATGGCGCCCGAGGCGCGTGCCGTGCTCCTCGAGCACAAAGAGATGTGAGGACATTTAGAGCCGAGGAAGGACAGAGACACGGCAGACGGAAGAAACAAACTACAAGATGACACACGCAGAGGCGGGAACTGCCCTGCCCGGGACACGCTAACATCGAGGGAAAAAGTAATCTGTTCCCTTTACCTGACCGGAGGGCCCCGCTCCTGTACAGCCTTCTCCCCTATGCTAACTTCCAAACACTTCCCTGCAATTCCCAACCTCGTCCCCTCCTCTCGGCCCCGTTCGCTCGACTTAGCTTTCAGAGGGCCGGAGGTCCATCTCGACAAAAAATTCCATCCTCGACAAAAGCAGCACAGCAGCTTCACCTGCAAGAAAAAACTAACGGGAGGAAACACAACCGGCTGTTCCCGGGGAGGCCACACAAAAAAATTTCTGCCTGCCTGTTTTGCCAATCGACGGGGCTAACTCAAAGGACACAGACACCAAGCTAAAGAAATAGGCTTATTTTACTTTCGTTTCAAGCAGCAGAAAGAATAAGCCAGGTAACGCACCTAGTCATTACTACATAAAGCTAGCTCTAGTGATTAAGAAAGATACATCACCAATTGCCTTCGTACTTTACCATCATCCAGATCCGTGCATCAGCTGGGGAGCCCCGTCACAGCGAAGGATCGGAGAGCCTTTCCCGGCAATTGGGAAGTCCTACGCAGTGCGTCCACTCGTAGGTAAGGTCTCCGTCTTTGCTGGGAGAGGGTCCGGCTTTTATACAGTTTAACAAACAAGTCTATACAAAATGCACAGGAGATATCCGGTAGGTTGATATGCCTCACTCGGGCATGTCCAGATCTGGCCAGGATCCGGGCACGTCTGAGGAGTTACTCTTTTTCTGTACCTTTGGGATTTATAGTTACTTCCTGTCGTTTACTGGTTGTTTCCAGGGATTGTTCCCAGGGTTGCATTTTCACGCTGATAAGATGCTGGCTGCTGGTCGGGGGATTCACTCAGAAGTCAACCTTGGTTTGAGGCCGATTGTGTGGCCCTTTTTTGTTTCACTGCCTTCAAAACGCCAGCCTGAGACAGACCTGCGCCCAAACACAGGCGACAAAAGTCGCCTCGCAGACCGGCCGGGACCGGGGAGTAAAAACCCAGACAGGGGACAGGAAAAGAAAAAATTTTTTGTCCCCCAGCTCTTTTGGGATTTTGGGATTTTTGGTTTTGTGTGGTTTGGGTTTTTTTTTTTTTTTTGTTTTGTTTTTTTTTTTTAATTTCTATTTTGTCTGTCTACTGCCTCTAAACAAAGCTACACTACCTACAGCCCGTAAGGAAAAAACAAAACATCAACCATTCAGGCACTGCTACACACATTTTAAACGCCACACAGCCGGCTACCACTCAAACCACCACGTGTTCTCCCCTTGGCCACCCTACCACCAAAACCGCCACAAGCCATCACCCTCCGTGATCCTCAGAAACATCAGGTATGGGGGCCTCAAAAAAATCATCCTGCCTGAAAAAACTCCAGCCTGAGCCTGACCTGCACCCACATCTAGATAACGATCCTTGCGTTGCACACCGGCCGGGACCAGGGAAAAACTACCCAGGCAGGAGACGGGAAAAACAGAAGTTTATTCCCCTGACAGAGTTTTTCATTAAATCCAGTCTACGTAGTCAAATTGAGCCCCGCCTACATCCTGGAAGAAAAGAGACGACAAATACTCTTACGCGGCTAGACACATTCTAAACGTTCCGCTATTCCACCTACCGCCAAAACCAACCCCCACTCTCCACCGGCCCATCCTTCCGCCCAACTGTCACGACAGGCAGTCACCCCCGGAATACTGTTCCTGGGGGACTCGAGCGCCTAGCCTGAGGAAATCCCGGCCCAAACCTGACCTTCACCCACACGCTGACCGTGACCGTCACCCTCAGAGAGCATCTGCGACCGGGTGAAAATAAACCCCACCGGGGAGGCAAAGACGTCACCCAGTTGGAGGATTTGTTTTCTTATTGAAAACAAACCCATACAGTATACCCGTGAACTCTATTCCACCTATCCCTGGCTCCACACCCCCAGGCAGAGCAGCTCCAAGCCACACAGACACACACAAAATACTAAAAACGACACAATTCAAAGATGACTAAACACTAAGCGATAAGCACACCCAGAAGGGTATGCCGTAAGGCGAGAAGACTCGGAGGGCCACGATGGTGACGCGAGGAGGCTATATGGCAGCCTACAAGAAGCAGTAAGTGGGACGGCCCCTTACGAGAAGCTACCGTCAAAACCGAGACGATGGGTATGCAAGAAGATGGGCTTCAAGACCTAAGAACGTCGGGATACGGGAAAGAAGTCACCGGCAGGAACAACGGATGCCTAAATAGCAGAGCTGACGCCAGAGCCCGCGACGACGCTGCGCAAAAGACTCCCGACTGGAAACTTCCAAGACCTACCCACGCTTTAAGCTTATAACGCAAGAATAAAAAAGCACCCGATCGGCAGCGTGCCGATGAAGATGGGCGTTCGATACCCTAGGGATGGCGCCTGAGGCACGTGCCGTGCTCCTCGAGCCCAAAGAGATGTGAGGACATAGAGATCCGAGGAAGGACAAAGACACGGTAGACAGAAGAAACAAAACTACACGTTGACACACGCAGAGGCTGGAACTGCCCTGCCCGGGACACGCTAACATCGAGGGGAAAAGTAATCTGTTCCCTTTACCTGACCGGAGGGCCCCGCTCCTGTGCAGCCTTCTCCCCGTGCTAACTTTCAAACACTTCCCTGCAATTCCCAACCTCGGCCCCTCCTCTCGGCCCCGTTCGCTCGACTTAGCTTTCAGAGGGACGGAGGTCCGATTCCATCCTCGACAAAAGCAGCACGGCAGCTAACTAGCACTTTCCTGCAGTTGCCGCCTTCCTCTTCACCTGCAAGAAAAAACAAACGGGAGAAAACACAACCGGCCGTTGGCATCGCGCTGCTCCGTGCCTACCTCTTCCACGACACCCCCCCCGTACTCAGAAGCGTCGCGGGGTTCCACTCACGGGCTCTTTGCAGAGTCAGATGGTGCAGCCGTCATCGCTGGCGTTACCTAAGATACCGAGAGACAAAGTTACCCTTGCGCTTCTAACGAGTCACCCACGATCCTCCTTGCGACTACCCCGGCTCGCTTCAAACGCTCATCCGATCCCAAAGGCGGCTCCCAAAGCACCTGCAAAAACAAGGCGAGCGCTTAACGGAGCGGTCACACGATACTTCCGTATTAGACACCGACCTGGCTGACAACGGCCTCACCTTCTCACACTGTCCGTCTGCGTGCGGCTCGGCCCCTCCGCGGCCATCTGCGGCACCTACAAAAAACTCGAGGAAAAGACACGTGCAGAGTTACCGCCTGAAACTGGGGTCTGCCCGCACCGATTCCCGTCTCCTGCTCCCTTACCTCGGCCCTTCACCTGCCCTGCCGCTGCCGTTTCCAGTTGTCACGTCAAGGCTCGCGTGCCACCTGTAACACACGTACCGCAAGGGACGCTTCTACTTTCACCGACAATTTGATGCCTAAAATAAGAACTGCTACTTTAACCCCCCTAGTCGTGGCTCACCTTGCCCAAGCTGCCTCCGGTGCCAAAATCCTACTTTGCTTGTGGCTCTCCATCTAAAAAACAACAAACAAAAAACACCACAAAACACACCACACACCGCTATCATCCCCTCCGATAGCACCGGTGCCATCTTCCCTCCCGCACCGCTCAGTGACCCACCTTCTCACAGCCCTCCGCTCACCTCCTCCGTCACTCTTTGGGGCGCATCTCCTCGATCTGCATGTGAAAACAGTTATGTGAGTCACCCGGATGCTTAACAAATCCGGAGGTGTCACTTCCGGCTAGGGATGCTAGCTGGCATCCAACTACAGCCTGTTGTTGAAAAGAAAACCACGCGCCTCCGCCCAAAGCGTACGCTCCCACACCTACGAGCCTTAACACCTTTGAGATCCCATCTCATTTGCTACTGCTGGACAGCTGCTCCCACACCGCTCCAACAGTCTCCATAAAACGCTCTAGAAACGACCGTCCGCACAGCCTCTGGATGGCTACTATGAGGTGACCGCACATCTGTCGCCTAGGCGGTCTAAGCGTATCAACATTTAAACCGTTGACTTCTACTGCTGTTCTACTTACTCCTGACTCTACACCCCCCAGGCAGGGCAGCTCCGAGCCAAACAGGCACACGCATACACTAATGCTAAACGCTACGAAAGGTTTGATTCCAAGATAACCTCTAAGCGATAAGGACTCTCAGACAAGATACCATGTCAGGCGAGAAGACCTAGAGGGCCACAACTGGGAGGCGAGGAGGCTATACGGCAGCCCCAGAAAGAGTCACACGTTATGGCCCGTTATAAGAAGCTACCGTCAAAACCGAGACGGTGGATGAGAAGTACGAGTCCGAATCCTAGGATGGAGGGATGCAGGGAAGACGTCACAGTCCGTGAAAATGGATGCCTAAGGAGCAGAGCTGATGCCGCAGCCGGCGATGATGATGCTGCACGAAAGACTCTCGACTGGAAACTTCCAAGACCTACCCACGCTTCAAGCTTATAACGCAAGAATAAAAAAGCACCCGATCGGCAGCGTGCCGATGAAGATGGGCGTTCGATACCCTAGGGATGGCGCCCGAGGCGCGTGCCGTGCTCCTCGAGCACAAAGAGATGTGAGGACATTTAGAGCCGAGGAAGGACAGAGACACGGCAGACGGAAGAAACAAACTACAAGATGACACACGCAGAGGCGGGAACTGCCCTGCCCGGGACACGCTAACATCGAGGGAAAAAGTAATCTGTTCCCTTTACCTGACCGGAGGGCCCCGCTCCTGTACAGCCTTCTCCCCTATGCTAACTTCCAAACACTTCCCTGCAATTCCCAACCTCGTCCCCTCCTCTCGGCCCCGTTCGCTCGACTTAGCTTTCAGAGGGCCGGAGGTCCATCTCGACAAAAAATTCCATCCTCGACAAAAGCAGCACAGCAGCTTCACCTGCAAGAAAAAACTAACGGGAGGAAACACAACCGGCTGTTCCCGGGGAGGCCACACAAAAAAATTTCTGCCTGCCTGTTTTGCCAATCGACGGGGCTAACTCAAAGGACACAGACACCAAGCTAAAGAAATAGGCTTATTTTACTTTCGTTTAAAGCAGCAGAAAGAATAAGCCAGGTAACGCACCTAGTCATTACTACATAAAGCTAGCTCTAGTGATTAAGAAAGATACATCACCAATTGCCTTCGTACTTTACCATCATCCAGATCCGTGCATCAGCTGGGGAGCCCCGTCACAGCGAAGGATCGGAGAGCCTTTCCCGGCAATTGGGAAGTCCTACGCAGTGCGTCCACTCGTAGGTAAGGTCTCCGTCTTTGCTGGGAGAGGGTCCGGCTTTTATACAGTTTAACAAACAAGTCTATACAAAATGCACAGGAGATATCTGGTAGGTTGATATGCCTCACTCGGGCATGTCCAGATCTGGCCAGGATCCGGGCACGTCTGAGGAGTTACTCTTTTTCTGTACCTTTGGGATTTATAGTTACTTCCTGTCGTTTACTGGTTGTTTCCAGGGATTGTTCCCAGGGTTGCATTTTCACGCTGATAAGATGCTGGTTGCTGGTCGGGGGATTCACTCAGAAGTCAACCTTGGTTTGAGGCCGATTGTGTGGCCCTTTTTTGTTTCACTGCCTTCAAAACGCCAGCCTGAGACAGACCTGCGCCCAAACACAGGCGACAAAAGTCGCCTCGCAGACCGGCCGGGACCGGGGAGTAAAAACCCAGACAGGGGACAGGAAAAGAAAAAATTTTTTGTCCCCCAGCTCTTTTGGGATTTTGGGATTTTTGGTTTTGTGTGGTTTGGGTTTGGTTTTTTTTTTTTTTTTTTTTTAATTTCTATTTTGTCTGTCTACTGCCTCTAAACAAAGCTACACAACCTACAGCCCGTAAGGAAAAAACAAAACATCAACCATTCAGGCACTGCTACACACATTTTAAACGCCACACAGCCGGCTACCACTCAAACCACCACGTGTTCTCCCCTTGGCCACCCTACCACCAAAACCGCCACAAGCCATCACCCTCCGTGATCCTCAGAAACATCAGGTATGGGGGCCTCAAAAAAATCATCCTGCCTGAAAAAACTCCAGCCTGAGCCTGACCTGCACCCACATCTAGATAACGATCCTTGCGTTGCACACCGGCTGGGACCAGGGAAAAACTACCCAGCCAGGAGACGGGAAAAACAGAAGTTTATTCCCCTGACAGAGTTTTTCATTAAATCCAGTCTACGTAGTCAAATTGAGCCCCGCCTACATCCTGGAAGAAAAGAGACGATAAATACTCTTACGCGGCTAGACACATTCTAAACGTACCGCTATTCCACCTACCGCCAAAACCAACCCCCACTCTCCACCGGCCCATCCTTCCGCCCAACTGTCACGACAGGCAGTCACCCCCGGAATACTGTTCCTGGGGGACTCGAGCGCCTAGCCTGAGGAAATCCCGGCCCAAACCTGACCTTCACCCACACGCTGACCGTGACCGTCACCCTCAGAGAGCATCTGCGACCGGGTGAAAATAAACCCCACCGGGGAGGCAAAGACGTCACCCAGTTGGAGGATTTGTTTTCTTATTGAAAACAAACCCATACAGTATACCCGTGAACTCTATTCCACCTATCCCTGGCTCCACACCCCCAGGCAGAGCAGCTCCAAGCCACACAGACACACACAAAATACTAAAAACGACACAATTCAAAGATGACTAAACACTAAGCGATAAGCACACCCAGAAGGGTATGCCGTAAGGCGAGAAGACTCGGAGGGCCACGATGGTGACGCGAGGAGGCTATATGGCAGCCTACAAGAAGCAGTAAGTGGGACGGCCCCTTACGAGAAGCTACCGTCAAAACCGAGACGATGGGTATGCAAGAAGATGGGCTTCAAGACCTAAGAACGTCGGGATACGGGAAAGAAGTCACCGGCAGGAACAACGGATGCCTAAATAGCAGAGCTGACGCCAGAGCCCGCGACGACGCTGCGCAAAAGACTCCCGACTGGAAACTTCCAAGACCTACCCACGCTTTAAGCTTATAACGCAAGAATAAAAAAGCACCCGATCGGCAGCGTGCCGATGAAGATGGGCGTTCGATACCCTAGGGATGGCGCCTGAAACACGTGCCGTGCTCCTCGAGCCCAAAGAGATGTGAGGACATAGAGATCCGAGGAAGGACAAAGACACGGTAGACAGAAGAAACAAAACTACACGTTGACACACGCAGAGGCTGGAACTGCCCTGCCCGGGACACGCTAACATCGAGAGGAAAAGTAATCTGTTCCCTTTACCTGACCGGAGGGTAGGCTCCTGTACAGCCTTCTCCCCGTGCTAACTTTCAAACACTTCCCTGCAATTCCCAACCTCGGCCCCTCCTCTCGGCCCCGTTCGCTCGACTTAGCTTTCAGAGGGACGGAGGTCCGATTCCATCCTCGACAAAAGCAGCACGGCAGCTAACTAGCACGTTCCTGCAGTTGCCGCCTTCCTCTTCACCTGCAAGAAAAAACAAACGGGAGAAAACACAACCGGCCATTGGCATCGCGCTGCTCCGTGCCTACCTCTTCCACGACACCCCCCCGTACTCAGAAGCGTCGCGGGGTTCCACTCACGGGCTCTTTGCAGAGTCAGATGCTGCAGCCGTTGCCGCTTGCGGTACCTAACTTACCGAGAAACAAAGTTACCATTGCGCCGGTGAGAAGTCACCGACCCCGTGCTCGGCCTTGCTACTTTCAGATGCTCAGTTGATCCCACAGGTGAAACTATCTTATTAAGCTATCTTGCCCTCCCAAACAAAATCACTAATGTAAAGTGAAAAAAATAAAAAAGAAAAAAAAAAAATTAAAAAAAGCAAGCTACATATAAACATTCTATCTCCTATATACGATGCTGAACCTTGACCGGTCCAGAAAATCTTACCTCAAATGACTCTGTTCCTCTAGAGACCAAAACACATCTGCCTCAGAAGCTTAAATGGCTCAAAAGCTGCTACTGACTGCAGGACTGAGAGAGCACTGACACCTGAGAAACTCAGAAGTGGAACGAGCTCCCTGTGGAGCGGTGGGGACTCATATACCCCTGGCCCCGCCCACCAGCCCGCCCACCAGCCTGCCCACAATCCCCTGGGAAAGGGGCGGGGCCAACCCCCCACAGGTATAAAGTCAGCCAGAGGAGCAGAGGGGAATTTTCTCCTCTGCCTGAAGTTTACAACACGTCTAGTGCTCTGTGGAGAAAGCGACTCTTACCAGAAATGACGATACCCGCTCTTTTACTGGGCCTGTTGTGTCGGCGATGCGACCCGGTAGAGAGTTCTGCTTAATTTTTCCAGGGTATACGTAGAAAAAGATGGCTATTTGATTAGGCTCTGTAACAAAAGAGTTGAATAAAGGCAATAGCGATACTCTTATCGCTACTTACAACGATGTGCTTTAGTTTCCAAGAAAACAACCAAAATGCTATAGGGTTACGCTTCGTTTCTACCGAGACTGCGCACGCTAGCTGGCTTCTACTGGAATTATGCTGTGGATGGAACTAAATGACAAAGTGGGGGTAGATCCTACGAGAATCCCTCCTCTGGGAAGTCTGGAGGGGATCTGAATGGACTACGCGCGCTCTCTGAGCAGCGGGGATGGAACGGACGCGTCCTAGCTACCGTAGAGGAAGACGTGAACTTTCTGCAGACAAACTATAGCGTCGGGAAAGGTTCTCTGGGCATGCGGAGGGCACAAAGCACGCCGCCGTTTTGCCAATCGATGGGGTTAATGCAAAGGGCGCAAAAGCTGAGCTAAAGAGATTGGCTTATTTTGCTGGCTGTCTCGAGGTAATAAGCGATAGGTAAGAAACAAGGTGCTTAAAAAAGAAGGCAATGTGTCCAGTCGTTACTATACCAGATGAGTCATAGCGATTAAGAAAGATACATCGCCGATCGTCCTCGTGCTTTACCATCGCCTGGATCCGTGCTTCAGCCGGGGAGCCCCGTCACGACGAAGGATCGGAGAGACTTTCCCGGCAACTGGCGAGTCCTACACGGTGCGTCCGCTCGTGGACGAGGTCTCCGTCTTTGCTGCGCGAGGGTTCCGGTTTTAGATGGGTTAACAAACAAATCTGTAAATCTGTAGAACTGACAAAATGCACGCAAGACATCAGGTGGATTGAGTCGCCTCGTCATCCTCCTTTGGGATTCTTTCCCGAGCCTGGCCGAGGCTCGAGGACGAACCGAGGGAGTTTGCGTATTCGACCTCAATAATTGGCTCCTAAACTAGGAAATGTCAGTATATTCATGTATTGTTTTATCTAAGCTACTTATCTCGATAATGATATGTTCTATCCAAGCTACGTATTTCACTAATGATTGGATACAGTCATTATATAACACGTTTGGTCGTGAGATTCATCGAGAGGGTGACTTTGGCTCGAGACCTGTCGTTCAGGCCTCGGTACTTTGACGGCAGAGCCGATAAAGGGCGGCGGAGCACGAGGATGGCCTCGGGAGGCACGCTGACATCGGGAGAAGAGCCAAACATAAAAGACGGCTCTCGCACGGAATGCTTAACTAGGGAAGGCATCCCCGTGACGTACGGAGGTTCTCGGGGGACGACCAACCAAACAGATGCATCCTAAATGGCGGTGATTAAGTAAGACGGCTCTGGGGTGAGGACAAAGCCCGAGGAAGGGATCTGTCCGCCTAAGAGATGTACACGGAGAGCCGTGGAGCTCAAACGGTGCTGTCAGACACGAGGATAGTCCCGAGAGACGTCGTGACGAGAATGAGAGGGCTCCGAGGAGCTGAGGGAACGTGGGCGTGGAGACAAACAAAGGACAAAAAATAATTTGAAAAAAACACGAACGGAATACAGATAGCCAGGGTACATTAAAAGCGATGGCTAATAAAGAAATAATGAAATAAATAAGAAATATTGATGGCAAATTACAGGGGAGATGTAGAAATAAAATTTTAAGGGTCAGCAATGAGGAAAACTGAGACAAAATATTTTAAAAACAAATGCAGTGACCGAGATACAAGCCAATTGTAAAAGCCCAGGG